AATCATTTCTACACACATTGTATTCGGCCCAATAGCGGTCCAGTTGTAAATGGGCCTCCCAAGCCCAAGGCTTGGGAGCTCAGCCCGTATTTTCCCTATAAATACTACCTCTGGGAGTAGTTGTGGGGGTTCACAAAATCATTTATTGAAGCATTTACTTGCACTTCTCTCTCTAGCTCTCACTTCTCTCTAGACATATACTCTATCACCAAGGGAGAAGATAGATACAACTTGAATTCCCCGAAGGCCGTTTGGCATTCGGCAGTCCATTCAAAGGGGTTTGCTTTTTTCATAATCTGGAAAAATGGAATTGCCCGATCAGCCAGTTTGGACAAGAACCTGCTCAGGGCTGCTAATCGACCGGTCAATCTCTGAACCTCCTTCAGGTTCCTTGGAGCCTCCATATCCATGATTGCCTTTACCTTCTCAGGATTAGGCTCAATGCCCCTCTCACTCATCATGTATCCCAAAAATTTGCCCCCCTCAACGGCAAAGGCACATTTTTTGGGGTTCAACCTCGTGTTTGCTTTCTGCATTATCCCAAACACCCTTTCTATATCCATGATATGGCTCTCCTTTTTCCGGCTTTTGATCAGGATGTCATCAACATAGGCCTCCATTGTGACCCCCAATACTTCTTTGAACATAATTCCAATCATCCTTTGGAAAGTAACCATTGCATTCTTCAACCCGAATGGCATAACAACATAGCAAATTACCCCGTCCGAAGTTACAAACGCTGTTTTTTCTGCATCATCCGGGTGCATGAAAATTTGATGATATCCCCGGAACGCATCCATGAAGCTTAGGAGCTCACATCCTGCCGTCTCATCCACTAACAGATCGATCCTCGACACTGGATATGGGTCCATGGGACAAGCTTTATTCAAGCCAGAATAATCTACGCACATTCTCCAGGTGGACCCCTTTCGAGCTAGTACCACATTGGATAACCATTCAACATGGATCACCGGTCGGATGTGTTTTATCCTTAGCAAGGTGGCCACCTCTTGTTTTGTAAAATCACGCCGTTCGGTCGCCTGGTATCTTTTCTTTTGCTGAACAGGCTTTGCATCAGATCGAACGGCCAGTTTGTGGCAAATTATGCCCGGGTCAATACCTGGCATATCTTCTGGCCCTCGGGCGAACAATACCTGAAACTTTTTCAGTACTGTTATTATACCCTCCCGAATTTCAGCCTCCAGATCTGCCCCGATGGCCGCCTACCGATCGGGGGGAGAATCCATGTCAATTTGCTCGAGGAGGGTGGCAGGCTCAGGATGTGCCTCGAACTCCATTCAACGGGCTTCGACTTCGATGCTGTTAACCCGCATGCCTCGGGCATTCATGTTTTTCAAGGCCTCCCGATAGCACGTTCGGGCTGTAGTTGGTTCAGTTCTGGCCACCCCAACCCTAGTGGTCGTGGGGAATTTGATACATGAGTGGCAGACAGAGGCTATCGCCTCCAAATCTTCCAACCCTGGTCAGCCCAAAATGGCGTTGTGGGCACATTTGATATCCACTACTACGAACGTCATTCAGACTGATGCCCTGTGCGTTTCATCTCCAATCTCAACCATCAATTGGATGGTCCCCTCTGCTTCGATGCAATTCCCGGTGAAGCTTGCCAGTGGTGTCCTCAGGTGGGTCAGCTGATTTTTCTGGAGGCCCATTTTCTCGAACGATTGTAGGTACAATATGTTCACGCTGCTTCCTGTATCGACCAACATCCGGCGAATTAAAGCCTCGTCTATGCACATACTTACAACCAACTCATCCCTGTATGGACTGGGCGAGTTTGGCAAATCTGCGGGCCCAAAAGTGATGGGGTCCGTCCTTCCTTTCTTCTGTGGTGGCATGGCTACAGAACCCACATACAGGCTTCGTTCGAACTTCTTCCGTTCGGCGTTCGAGTCGCCTGTCTCCCCACCCCCAAATATCACCTTTACCTCCATCCTGGGTTTTTTACCCGGGTTCCCCGAACCTTCCGGTTCGTCTCTGGGAGGGTTATATACATCATTTCTGGGGCGAGCATCACATTGTACATCTCGCCTCCAGTTGTTGGATTTCTTGATCGGTTTCAGAATACCCGTAACATTTGGGTCTGTATTTACATATTTACCCAGATGACCCATCTGGATCAATTTTTCAATGGCTATTTGCAATGCCCGACAGGATTGGGTGGAGTGACCGCTCCTGTTGTGGTACTTGCAAAAAGCATTTGCATCGGTCCCCATAAAACCTTTGGTGTCAGTCGGAGGGGGAATGTTGTCCTTCTCGTTCTGATAAATGGTTGCTACAGAAAGGACCAAATGAGTGAATCGTTCCGCTCTTGAAGGTGGAGCGGCCGCTGGGGTAGGACCCAGCCGATCGTCCAGTTTCATGGGGGTTGGGGTGCAGCTACCTTATCCATGATTAGGATTTCTTCTTCCAGAGCCGCATGCTTTCGGGATCTGTCCAGCACTTCAGAATAAACCGTACCCGGATTCTTTTTCAGCTCTTTATACAATTCACCCGTTTCGGAGAGCGTTATTAAATAGGGTGATGGCTGTATCATCCGTCATGCTCCCCACTTTTAGGGTTTCATCCCTCCATCTTTTGAGGAATTGATTTAGGGCCTCCTTCAAACCCTGCCTGATACTAGTCAGGTAACTGAAATGCCTCTTCGGAGTGGCACTGGATTCAAACTCGGCCAGGAATAAAGTTGACAATTCGGCAAAGCTGCCGATCGATGCAGGCTGCAAGGTCCCGAACCATTCCTAGGCAGGTCCCCTGAGCGTGCTGAAGAAATGTCAGCAAATGGCCGGCTCCAATGCTCCCAACATCATAAGCCCCCCTTGATAACTCCTCAAGTGCCCGTGGGGATCTCCCACCCCGTCATATATTTGACCGGTCGGTGGTTTGGCATCCCTGTGGATCTCCGCTTGCATGATTCCCCGGGTGAAAGGGGAAGTGATTCCAACCTGAGCTGGAGTAGGGTGCAAAGGGGCTCTGTTCATTTGTTCCCTCATTTCGTTCATCTGCCTCCTCATCTCGGCCATTTCTTCCTCTTGGGCCGTTAGAGGAGGCGGTGGTTGAGTTCCCAAGTTCACAAATTCCCGATTCGCTTCCGGCAGAGTTGTTCTTTGATTCTGACGTCTCTGCCCGAATCTCGTATTGTTACGTTCTTCACACTGGAATTGGCGGCCAACGGGCGTATCTCCTCTGGCCCGTGACCCGGTCGGGGTGTGGTCACTAGGAGTGTGATGCATGTCCCTGGTCGCGTGTGCTCTTGCGTGTTCTCCCCGGTGTGCTCGTGAGTGATTTGATGTCGTGGTTGTTTCTGCATCGGTGGTTTCATCATTGAATGATGGGGTTATGTACCTAGTTTCTCCGGTGTAGCTGGACTGTCCCCCATCCTGCTCATCCGCCATATGTTGAATGACCTGAGCCAAATCCCGCATGGCGTGGGGGTTCCTTCTTAATGCTTCGGGGATGAAAAAATCCCCATCAAAGTGTGGGTAGGATCCCCGGCTGGATTGCCCTTGGGGGTCCGACTTTCCCCACGTCTATCTGAAGTTCCTCTGGTGTGATGAGAAGTAATTCTAACCATTTTGAAAATAGCTTTTTGTTTGGTGTGAAACTTTTTGTTCAGAGTTTCCCACAGACGGCGCCAATGTTAAGGTTTAATCCCGTAGATCCGAAAGCCCAACACAGACTTCAGATATATCAGGAAATGGACAATAATTTGGTATGTAAAAGAAATATAAAAGATCGATAATCGAATGCTCAAAAGCCCACTTGTATTAATTTACCTGTTTGATTACAAGGAAATTACCCGAACGGTACGTCGGATTGATACTTAATACAAGAAACAAGAGTAATAAGGCTATTTTAGGGCTTGAGTATTAAAATGCTAACTCTTACAATGATATTAAACCTTCTATTTATACTAATGGAGAGTATGGGACGTTTTATGTTGATTGGCCGATGTTCCACCGACTTGATCATCCATGCCTCCACTTGATGATGTCACAATCTGTCATTAATTGCACCTGGCAACCTGCTGGTTGTCCGTTGCCCAAACGGAATAATGGGCCCTGTAAAACATTGTTGGCTTGGCCCAAGTGTGATGTATGGCTCGAACCCCGTTCGGTATGTCTATTTTCTGGGTCAACCTTTACTTGGCCCGAACCTCATTTGGTATGAATATCTCACGACCTACTTATCATAGGGTAGTGGGCTCGTTGTTTGGGCTGGATATCCTAGGCCTTTAATCCGGGTATTGGGATTCCGGGCCAATATCCCAACAATGATAATTAAAAAATAATAATAATGATTTTTATTCTTCTAAACCTATTATTTTATATATGCTCAGTAGTAACAACAACAACAACAACATTAGCACCAACAACATCAACAACAAACAAGCCTTACATGTATAAATAGGATTACATGACTGAAAACTGATTTACAAGATATATGCAAAAGAAGATTATAAATGTATCTGTATGATTAAACAATGAGCTCAATTTTTCATTGTATAATTATATATGCGATTGTTTTTTTATGGAAATAATGACATATTGTTGTATATTGCTAAAATAAAAACTAAAATAATGACATTTACTATATTAGTAAATCTTAGTCACTATAATTATGTTTGACTTTGTACTATATGAAGTCATAGTCAAAATAAGTTTACTCATATTTTTGTACAAGAATTTTATTCCTGTAAAACTATAAGAAAATTCTTCTTTTTATGGAGTGTATACTTAAGGAGGAATATCATAGTACCATGCCTTTTCCTTTAGAAGAAATAATTAAAATATCCCAAACTTTGAAGGGGTGTGAGCTAAACACCTCAAACTATCACATGTAATTTAAATATCTCAAACTTTATATACAAAGTTATTTTAACATCATGATCATGTATTATTTCTTTCAAAAATGTAAATTTATGATCTTAATGGCATAGTATAAAATAGCAAATTGATGAAAACGTTACAATTAGATAGAGTGGGGTACTAATCTTTATTTTACAAAGGAAATTTAGAATATTAAATTTTCATTGAACTTGAAAGCCTCTATCGAACTTGAAAGCCTCCATTGAACTAGTCCTCAAAATCTCCCCTATCATCCTGCTCCCATTCATGCACCTCTCAAGGTCACCCCTGTCATTGAAGTAATTAAAGCTGACCAAGGGGGTCATTCTAATATCAGTTGAGGCCAATCTCAGTGACCCTGCAGATGACGGCCCTATTACCTTCTCCAAGATTGTTGCCACTGTCCGGTAGTAAACCGGAGGAGCATATGGAGTTCCGGTGAAGAAGGGGTATGGGGTACGGGAAGATAGAGGGATGACGTTAGAAACAGCTTCTAGGTAAGCACCTGTTGGGATATTGGGCCTCAAACCCAATACCCGAATCTAAGGTCCAAGATATCCATTTCGTTAGACGGGTTCATCATCCAGAAAATGAACCAGCTCTTGGGAAAATATGTAACGAACGAGGTTCGGATCGATTAACATACTTGGGCCAAATCATTAATGAGCCAGACCAATTAATGATTCCAGCAGGATTCACTGTCCGTTCGGGCAGCGGGTAACCAACAAGTGGCAGGGGGCATTTATTGCTAAAGCACGACGGCAACTAGTGGGAGAATGAGTTCCAAGTGGTTATATAAAGCAGACGATCGACATGAAGTACCCCATACCCCATTAGTATAAATATATAGAAGGATTAGTTTCATTGTAAAGGGTTAACATTTTTTTAGATTCAAGCATAGAATAACATTATCTCTCTGATTTCTTGTATTAGTTACTATTCCGACATACCGTTCAGGTATTTTACAGTGTAATAGTCAAATTACTTAATACAAGTGAGCTTGAGTGTTCGTTGATATCATCTTTTATATTTCTTTTATACACTAAATTATCGTCCCATTTCTTGATATATCCAAAGTTTGTGTTGGATTTTCGGATTACCCGATTAAACCTTAACAGCACCTAACTCTGTTATCCGCTCCCCACAATCTGAACCAGAGAGTGCCCTAGGGGTAAAGGAGGGGCGATAGAGAAACTGCCCTACCTCCCCTACGTAAGGTGAGTGGTAGGAGACCGGAATGCCCAAAGAAGATAGGTATGGTCTAGGGCCGATTCCACTCAGTAGAAGGATCTGAGGGGTACCCAGAGCTCTGGCGGAGAGCAAGACTTCGCCTTTGCCCCTAACCATGGCGTGGTGATACCTGCTGTTCCGGTCCCGGAAAAAATTCCGGCTGCCTTGCGTTTTCTGAGCAGAATCCTCTCTGCGATGGCGTGGACGGCCACCCGGATGTTGGAAGGATTGGCGTATGATAGAAAATCGGCTGAGATGTGTCTTCGTCCGGTGGGGTCGAAGGTGGACCCACCAGTCTTGGTGCCAAGAACGTGTTCTAAGCTGAAGCCATTGTAGGGATCGATTCCGGCTTCTAGCAACCCGTCTCTCACTTCCATTTGCCAGGTCCGGAGCTATGGCAGTTATCATGTTTTTTACGGGTCTCCGTGTTTTGATCTGGTCTGAAATTTTATTATTTATATTTTTTTTGCATAAAGATTTTATTATATATATATATTATAATTCATAAATAATTATATTTTATTCATTTATAATTAAAAATAATAATATTCCTTTCAAATTATCGAAAATTGTTATCGTTTTACTTGACTGATTTCAATCTCAGACCAAAGCAGATCAGACCAGGGATGTTTTTACTTGGATTGTAATTTGCTGATCTGGTCTGGTCTGAAATTTTATCTTTCATTTTTTTTGCATAAAGATTTTATTTTATATATATATATATATATATTATAATCCATAAATAATTATATTTTATTCATTTATAATTAAAAATAATAATATTCCTTCCAATTTATCGAAAATTGTTATCGTTTTACTTGACTGATTTCAATCTCAGACCGAAGCAGATCAGATCAGGGATGTTTTTACTTGAATTGTCATTTGCTGATCTGGTCTGATCTGAAATTTTATTTTTTATTTTTTTGCATAAAGATTTTATTATATATATATATATATATATATATTATAATCCATAAATAATTATTTTTTATTCATTTATAATTAAAAATAATAAAATTCCTTCCAAATTATCGAAAATTGTTATCGTTTTACTTGGACTAATTTCAATCCCAGAGCGAAGCAGACCAGACCAGATCATACAAATACAGAACAACTCAAACTAGACCAGACCATATCAGACTACACTGGACTAGTCCAAATAAAAACAAAGAAAAGATAAAATTAGGCAATTGGCCCAATATACTCACATAGTCACACGTATATATAAATTGTTGCAAGGGTAGGAACTTGAAGGGAAAGGAGAAGCCATGGTTGATTCATAGATGTTCAACAATGGGCGAAAAGAAGATATGAACAATGTTTGCGTGGAAATTGCGAAACAAATTTGGGAAGATGTTCAGAAACCTAGAGCAAAGGATACATGATGATATTTATTACTCCCTCCGTCCCTCAATTAAGTTATCACTTTTCTTTTTGGGCAGTCCCTGAATTAAATTCCTACTTCTTCACTTTCCTTATTTGGCAAATTATCTACATCAAAACAGTGCAAAACAGTGTCCAAACAGTGCAAAACAGTTTCCAAACAGTGTCAAAACAGTAAAATTTACCCCCCAGTAAATTTATTTCCTTAATATGTGTGAAGTCAAACACGTAACTTAATTGGGGGACGGAGGGAGCATTTTATGTTACTTTTTTGTTCTAAAAAGATTTATAGTTTACCCATTATTCATCAAGATCATCTATATTATTTTGTCACTTGTATGACTTAAAATACAAACAGACTAAACCAAACAATAATAAAATAGTACAAGTATTAATAATAACAACAATAACAATACTACTACTAATAATAATAATAATAGTAATAATAATAGTAATAATAGTAATAATAATAATAATAACAATAACAACAACAACAGCAGCAACAACAACAACAATAATAATAGTAATAATAATAATAAAATATGATTTGGTCTGATCTGGTCTGAGACGAATTACAGTCCAAGTAAACACAACTCAAATCATACAAATACATAATAATAATAATAATAATAAAATATGGTCTGATCCGGTCTGTTTTAATCTGGTCTGATCTGATCTTGTCTGTTTTGGTCTGGTCTGGTGCGGGAAGAATTAAGGTCCAAGTAAAAACAACTAAGTAAACTTCTTTCCTAATTATCGTACTCGGTAATACTTTCCTAAATACTGATTAATTACTGTGTGTAGACAATCCTAACTAAAGAGGGTTACACGTTTCCTAATTCCAAATTACCTAGCTCTATATATACGTATATAGCAGCTACACTCTTCTTCACCACCACACCAAATTTTACAGAAAGTTATATACCACGTTGCTAGATTTTCAAGCCACCGGCAAAGGCCTTAGTCGATAATAATATTAATAATAATAATAATAAAAGTTATGACACTTATGGGAGAAGCAACATACGAGCAAAAACCAAATAAAAGACGATGGAGAAGGGCGAAAAGAACCGCCAAAATTAATCTCATTCCTCGGGACATTATAGTCGATATTTTGGTAAGAGTAGCTTCTGATTCTCTACCCGATTTACTCCATGCCAAATTCAGGTATATATATATATATATAAACATTCAATCAATAAATTAATTACTAGCTAGCTAGTTTGGATATATATGTTAGTATATTATAACATGATGTATTGAAATTGATTGTTTTTAGCTGCCATGAGTGGAATGAATTGGGGGATGACGTGAACGTGTATAAACATGCATCTCTAGCTGAGTTCCCTGTTATATCAAGTTGGAAGCCAGAAAGTGCAGAAAAGAAAAGAAAAGTGGCTTCATTTTTGAACAAGTGTATAGATGCCCAAAATCTAGAAGCTTTGTTCAGGAGAGGAGTGGTATATATATATACATTACATATCTTTGTTTTATATAATGCATGCCAAATCAATATATATATATTACTAGTAACTAATATTTAATTAATCGTAGGTGGGTTATTTTAACGGCAAAGAACAAGAATACGCATTGGAGTGTTTGAGGAAGGCAGGGAATGCGGGGCACGTGGGAGCAGTATATGTAATCTGCATAATTTCCATGCTATTCATGGGAGGTGAAGACAAGGAGAAAGGAATGGAGGTGTTGAGTGCCATGAAGAAGTCGGATGAATTGCGAGGGAAAGTTGGGGACGCTCGTCGGGAACTAACATCGATCGTGAAAGAGATTTGGAATGGGGATTTTGTGGTTCATAGGCAGAAACCAGATTGTTGCAGCAGAGAAGATCATTGTTGCACGAAGACGGGCTGGGATGCGGACGAAGAGAACTTGAGCATTGATTGCCCTTATTGTAAATGTGATTTTGAGATTTCTGTTATTGATAGTGTTCTCGCACCCTCCTTGAATAATAGGTGACAACTCCGGTACCTTTACAAAAAATGGAGTATCGTAACTATCATTCATTTGATTGGACCACATCACTTTATCATTTTTAATTTAGATTTAAATAATTCAACTGCTACATTCTCATTGATCCATGTGGACAAATGTATGGTATCTTATGGGTATTATAGAATTTACCTAAATAATAACGTGGTCTAACCACTTTTACATTACAATTCTACATGCAATTTGCTAAGGGAATTTAAAGGGAATTGTTACCTGCAATTTTGTCCACTAAAGGGAAAGTTCCCGAAATAGGACTAAAACAGTTTCAAAATTCCAAAATAGAATTGTCATGTTTTTTATTCCCAAATATGACTAATTACTGTCATGTTTGGAAAATACTGTCATATTTGAAGTCTGGTACTGCCAAAACATGACAGTAATTAGTCCTATTTTGAAAATAAAAATATAATAATGTTACTTTGGAATTTTCAAACTATTTTAGTCATATTTCAGGTAATATCTCTTTAATTTATAACGGGATAAAAAGACTGGTATGGGATGATAAATTAACCAACATGACATATATGATTATCTGCATAATTGTTCACCATCCACTATGTTCTCATCTATATTTATTTATGGCGCAATTTAGGAGTGGTAACCAAAGAAAGAATCAAGAAAACGGAACAGAGCAACACACTAATCGTAAAAGAACCGACCAAGCATGGGGTGCTTAGCTCCATGGTGTGATAGAATGTTTTATGTAAGATAAAACCTAACCAGGTGAAAACCCAGAAAAATGACTTGTAAGGTACCAAAACGCACACAAAATGCCAAATATAACTACCAAAAAATGACTTAGGTTACTCAATTTGGTTGAAGCTAAGGGTGTGTGAACAAAATGCAGTTCAATACCAAGTTGAACAAAATGTATCGTTTCTACATAGATGGAGAAAGGGAGTTAAGTGTTGAATATTTGCAGCGAATAAAATAAATAAATTAAAATGCGATGTGCGAGATCTGACTTTTTGAAACAAAATTGCAACTAAAATAAAGTTTATTAAAGGGTTCTTTTAAGTTAATGACAGGAAAGGAACATGAATTGATTCTGGGGGCAACCAGATTTCGGGGCTGATAAGACTTAAGCACATGAAAATTATTTAATTGAACAACGCAGGTCAATACCAAGTTTTACCGCTCTCGCAACGTAGGATGGATGACCTCTCAAGCGACAAGTTTCTAAACTATTGTCAAAACGAGCAAGCGTACGGCTCCCTAACCGTGCTAATATCTTAGCAAGCGATTACGTGTGTGTAAAGATGATCTAGAACAATTTAGATCTCTCCTAAATTATTGTATGTGCAATTATAATCCTAGTAGTCATTCATGATTACAAAAGGTAACAGTTATATTATTCAAACATAAATTAAACCATAATCATTCAATTAAATCATCAACAATAGAACACCAAATCATGATTAACATTGGGGCTTTATCAATCCTCAAATTACTAATGAAATCTATTCACAATTTATAATTTAATTAACAATAGAATTGAACAAGTAGGAATTAATTGTCATTAATCGAAAGAAAGAACTTACAAACAATCTCAGAATATTGAAGATCCAAAGATGAAAAACTTTAGAAAATCCATCCCCAAGTTGTCTCTAACCTTCTACTGCCTCAAACTGTGGTTTATAGGCTGTTTAAATAGAAAACAGTGAAAAGGGGTCAAAATTGGGGGTTTTTGGGGCGAATTATGGTCGTTCTCGGTCGCGCCGATGTCCGTCGCACTTGGCAGAGAGCAGTATTATGTGTGCATGGTGTGAGCTTCTCCCGTCCAAAATTGGCTATGCTTCCTTCATCAAAGTTGTTGGCAAATGTAGTCCTCATTTCACCACAACTTGAAAAACTGGAATTGGATTATCCGATCAAAATATATGGGTGAAATGGTGGAAGGCCGCATTCTGAAATCTCAATAGCGATTATTTGACATCCTCGTATATTTCATCTTGATCCTCTCATATTCTTGTCATGGTGTCTTCATGTGATTTGTAGCGCATTAAGTTATCTTTCATATTAAATTTGAATCGTTTCATTTGGCTTTTTCAATGAAAAGATATGCTCAAACGGTTGACAGAGCGTCATCCTGAGTCAAGGTTGTGATTGAGTTGGGCGGTGGTCCAAATAGGTATTTGTCATGCTCCTTGACCACGTTTGTTCCCGTACTTGATCCTTGAGCTTCTTGTGTCACGCCCCAGACCTACCCGGACACGTCAACAAACCGCCGTACAATACGAATAGTCAACCGCAGTTTAACACATCCATATTATACAAGGCGTCTCGAATATCATTCACACATAAGTCACCCATAAACATACATAATAAGCAATTCAATACGCAGCGGAAAACATAGTTTGGAAACAAATACCACACGGGGCAAACATGAGCACGCAGCCACGCAGGCTCTATAGTAAAATATCCATAAGCATGTTTATAATGTTCAAAAAACAGAATGGAGGAAGCAAGAACCAAGTCTTCACTCCAAGATGATCACCCGAGCAACGAGCACAGGAAGCAAGCTCTAGCCTCAACCTGAAATGGTTGTGGGACGCCCCCCGAAAGGGGGTCAGTACTCTATACGGCTATAAAGTACTGATGTGGATGACATCTAATAGATATACACCAAGTATTTCAAACACAAGATCCTCAAACAGGGTGATAATATAATCTAGGTTGTAACCCCAAGTTACCCCTTTTAAAAATATACTTACTTTATATAAAGTCAATTAGTCGACCCGTAGGCCCAAAGTTTGTTTACCATCAACCCAATACCCCGTGACTACCAGTCACGACAATTCATATGGTCTAACCCTAACACATATGTTTGCATTTCTAGAGTCCAACTCAAGTACATCACCATGCAAATCATATGACACAAGTTAATTACTCCACCGTGCATTTCTAGAGTCCAACTCAAGTACATCACCATGCAAATCATAGGCTACAACCTCAAATCCCCCATGCATTTCTAGAGTCCAACTTAAGTACATCACCATGCATGTCATCAATCACAACCCCTTGTCTACCCATTCACTTCTAGAGTCCAACTCAAGTACATCACCGTGCCATGGCATAGACTCCTTTCCTAAGCAAACCTATGCCTAGAATTGAGATATCAATAATCTATTTTGGGACATCCTTACGGACTGCCCATAACTTGATCTTAGCTTCATACTAAATCAATGAAAAACTAGCAACATAATACAGAAAACTTCAACTAAAGTTCAAGAAAATGTGTAGGAACAAAACTTAAAAAAACAGAACTAAAATCATGAAAAAAAACTATTTACTTCAAGAAAATATGCAGCAATGTAAAACAGAGAACTTCAACTAACCCTCAAGAAATAGTAAATAGTTCAGATATGCTTCCTATAAATACCGGTTCTGATAAACTATCCCCCCATTCTCATCAATTTAACCTTGCCCATTTACTTTGTGTCGAATCAATGTGTTAAATTTTATTTCTTTATCTCCAAATTTCGTATTTAAAACAATGCCAATGTTAAACACTCACCTGCCTCAATTTAAGTTAGGGATCAACGCATGGAGTAGCTTTTTCGCATATACCAACTAAAACGGAACATATACCAACACTCTCCATCTGTAATTACTCTTCATTTGTAAATCTAATCCCTGTGCAACTGACTTTTTCCTTTGAGAAAATCTTAAGCAACTAGATTTTAATTTCAAAATCAAAGTGTGAAAGTCAGGAAGTGAGCTCATTATCTCCCCCTGCCATCACCTAATAATCTAAGGCAAAAAATGCACAACGCCCCTTCCCTGTCACGGAGAGCATGTTTGTCTGAACATTTTTTTATTCAATGCTTAATGAATTACCTGGTTCTCTATTACCTGGTGAATTTGTAACCTAGTAGCATATTCTCTATTACCTGGTTCTAGTTGAGCCGATTCAATTGCAGGTACTTCAAAGAAACAACCTATTGGGTATTTGGAGCTAAATCGAACTATATATACTAATATTACCAGAAAATCGAAACAAGATTGATGTTTAGGAAGTGAACAATCTGAGCCAGAAGAAGAGGAAAGGCTCCAATCTAAGAAAGAAAATATATAAAACATATATGAACTTCAAGGAAATACCGAGCTTAAGAAGGTAGTAGTGAGATTCCTCTGATGGGTGATGTTCGTTGGTCCGACTGGTGAAGTTCGCAAGTCGCATATGTCCAGAGATCTTCAACGATGAAATCTACTAATGGAGAAGCAATGTTTAAAAAGAGAGTGTGTAGGTATAGTTAGGTCTGAATGGCAAGGAGTGTTAAAATTGGGCTGAACCAATAAGTCATAAAGTGTCTGCGCAAATAAGTCATACTTTTCATTAAGTTACAAGTAAACATTACTATATGTGTGAGCGAATAAGTCGAGATTTCCATTTAGCACATTAAGTCACAAGTAAACAGGCCCTAAGTCACTTGAATCACATTCAAGTACATTACTTACAATCAAATCCTTAGATTCAATTCCTTGACAATTACAAACAATCATTAACTAGTAATTCAATACTATTAAGATTATTCCTATCAATCAAATATTCTACTTGTAAGTCCCTACATATTTAGAGATATGTAGAAGCAACTTAAGCATCCAATGTAATACATAAATATTCATTTATGTATCTACACAATTCACACATGAGTAAAAATGCCTATTTTACATAATAGTTCATTAATAGCTCATTTAACTCCATTTTTATCAATATGATTCCAAATCATTTCCAATTTCATTCCTTATCAAATATATCAATATTTCATCAATAATCAATCATCATAATCCATTAAAAACATGATTTAGACATTTAGGTAATCTCATGCTAAACCTACAGACATTTAAGTTGTAAGCAACTAGATGTCGATCCTCACATCAAATGAGCTTTAAACTGTTCCTTCTCAATCCAATGCTCAAGATTCTGACAAGGAAGTTTGAGAACTGATTCCTTGCTTATAAATGAGTGTTAAACAGCCTCCTCAAGGTGCTAGGTCAACTCCTAACCGAAGACACAAAAACAGTCCCTAGAACATGTGTTTTCCGATGAGTTCGGTCCCTAACCTTTCAAGGTTTGTTCTAGGTTAGTATCTAACCTTTACAAAAAATAAAATAACCTTATAATAACAT